AAACAGAATAAATTGATTTCAATTCTGAGAGTAATTTCAACTTATATATCTGCTTACTTATCACTCTTATTACTGAAAAAGATTCTAGTCACTACTCACTGAGCTTCTTACATAGTCTTATTATCTTGATATTCTTTGCTGAAAGTAGTATTTAATTCTCTATTAAGAACTCTATTAAAAGATGTTTTTAATTATAGTATTCTATCTACTACTTCTAAGTATAGTAGATGCTTTTCACTGTCTTCTCATGAATTTTATTTAAAAGTTTCAATCTCACTTTTACTTCTGACACTGAGAGATACTCTGTTCTTTATATCTGTTCAACATTCTGACTGTCTATTCTTTTCTTTAAAATGTTATTCATGATGTCACTGACTAATGAAGAATTATATTCATAATAAGTATAGAAAGAAGATATCTTTAAGATTGTATTCTTTATATTATTATATATGAATTTAGTAATCAGAAGATGTTTAGACTAATCATTCTAATAATATAAATAGAATACTTAAAGATGCTGTTCTAATATCTGATTCTGATATTCAGTCTGATCATCTGTCTGTGAATGAAATACAGTACTGAGAAGACATCTTATTATAAGATAATAGTAAAAGACTGATCAGTATTTGCTGATAAAGAGAGATTCTTGATCTGTTATTAATGACTTCAGAGCACTGTGATCATAAATAATAATATCTAAAAACAGATCAGCTAATTTAGAGGCTTTAATCTTTTTATAAGTAGAAATATATTTAGTCATCTTCATAAAGCAGTTAATAATAATCAAAATTAAGTCATATTCTTTGACTCTTATTGACTTCAGTAGATTAACTATGAAATTCATCAATAGATTCTGTTATAAGCTCTTTGAAACAGACAGTAATATCAACTCATTATATTACTTATACTGCAGAATCTTTATTCTTTGATAGATATTATAAGTTATAATATACTCTTTAATATCTGTCTGAAGCTTGTTTTAAATATATTTATATTTTAAAAGTGTCTCAGTCTTCTCTAACCTGAAGTGTCTTATATGAAAATCATTATGATAAATTCTCAATAACTTCTGATACATCACTCTGCTATGAGAGATAAAGACTGAACTATTCAGCAGTAGAAGTTCATATTCTTCTAGTTATCAGTGACTTGATTTCTTAGCAGTACTGTCTCACTCAGAGTCTGTCTCTTTCAAGTTTAAACTGAATTCTTTCTTCTTCAACTTCTGAATTCAAGCTGCAGTAGAGATGTCTCTCTTCTGTAATTTATTAATGAATTCTAAAAGTAGTTAAGTTAAAAGATTGTAGACTGTTTTATTCTTTATCAGTTCAATGATAGTAAGATATAATATAAGAAGCTCATGATCTTCAGTGTTAATTCTCTGCAGAGATCTGAGTTTTCTTTCATCTTCTATACTGAGATATGCAGCTGTCTTACTGATGTCATTTCTGAGTTTCAGAGAATCTCAATCTTCTACAGTCAGCTTCTTCTGCAGTGATGACAGAGATTCTTTTATAGAATTCTTCTCTGTATCAATGATATTATAATCAGACTGTCTAGACAGTGTGTAAGTGAGATTAAGTCAATCTGAACAGTATTAGATATAGAAATCATACTCTGAAAGCAGCTTTATTCACCTGGATTGATATTCTATCAAGCTCTTTGTTGTTAAGAAGTAATGTAGATTTGTATAATCAGTGAGAACTTACACTGAGTACTTACTACTCTGAAGATAATGTCATCAGATCTTAAAGAATTTGACAATTACTAATATCTCTTAATCATGAGTATTATATCTTCTCTGTGTAAGTGATAACTTCTTGAAGAAGAAGATCACTGATCTCTATTCACAGTGTCTTATAGACTCTGTGAAAAAGTCTTCTCTTACAGACATTTCATTGTCTGTATTCTCAGAGATTATTATTCTTTGATTTCTTTAATATTGAAAGGCCTTTAGTGTCAACTGTGAAAAGATTTCGGACTTCATTTTCAGATACATCAGTCTCACACTGACTGAGTAAGTCAGAGTTAAAGTGATTCAGTATTATGACATCTGTAAAAGCTTGTTTCAATTCTGCAAATGCCTGCACAGTGTCTTGAGTGAGAGTAAATGATCTCATTTTCCTGTCTTTCACACTTCTCTTTAACAGATCTGTAAGAGGGACAGTAATTTATGAATATGTATAGATGAATTGTCTGTAGAAATTTGTAAATTCTAGAAACATCTGTATCTTGTGATACATCTGCAGTACTGGTCAGTTCTCAATGATGCAGACTCAGCTTCTGTTCATTGAAATGCTGTTCATCTCAATAATATAATCTAAGAAATCAATATCCTGCATGTAGAATGAGCATTTTTCAGTATTTGCATAGAGTTAATACTGTCTCAAGTGCAACCGCTCCACCAAGAACTCGCTCGATTTTTCGAATAAGAACCCGCCGATAGATCCATCGAAAGGCCCTCGATCATACAAGCATTTTGACCCCATCGCCGACCGCATACCCCGTGTGGTGGTGAAGATATTCAGTCAAACATGAACCAGACATTGTTCAAAACTCCTGTGTGGGATTATCCCCCGTTCACCCCTACCACACCACAACCCCGGGCCAAATTGCCATACAAATTGTAAGGTGAAGAAACCTAGCCATATGCACCAATTTTCTTGATTTTGGAAGATTCTCAATCTGTAATTGTGAAGATATCTGAGAAGTGATCTCTGTGAAAACCCTGGCCATCTTTGATGTTTCAAAACATTAACACCAAGTCTCACTCTTATACTGTCCTTCTCAATCTAGCACATCCTCAGCAGAAAAATATAAAAAGATACCTCAGCAAGAGCATTCAATATATAATCAGTGAACAATAAGTCAACAGCACATCAACAATTATAAAATCAGTATATTTCAAGATCTGACTGAGCCTTTAATCCCTGCACAGTGAGATATATTAAATCTAGTTTTAATATCTCAATATTTAATAGATTCTGCAAGAGATTGAGAACAGCAATACTAGATTTCTATTGAATTTGAGAATTAACTCTATATTGATATAATCATTGACAAAGTCTTCTATTTTGAGATATAAATAACCAGTTCCTCTACATTCTGTTAATAATATTTATATTATTATATAGAAACAGACTTATATTCTCTATAATATCAAGACTATGAAGAGAGAAAGTCTTGATAGAGAATATACAGTAGTATATATCTTAGCAGTTTCTATCTCATTCTTCTGCAGCAGTTAATGCAACAAAAAAAGATCTTAGAAATAGTTTTTTACTTCTCTTAAAAAAGTAAGATGTTTTTCTCTGAGTTTTATATAATATTCTTATAAAGAATTAAAAACAGAGCTGTTTTCTATCATAATTTCATATTCTTTTAAGTAAGAATTACTTTTTCAGTGACTGAAGAGCTTTCATTAATACTTAATTCTTTTTTACACTCTTTATCAACTGATTTGAGTTGCACACTTATTGTGTGAGAAGAATTGAATGATTTAGAATAAAATTGAATAGTTTTAATCAATTTCTCTGTAAAAAATTAATTTATTTTTTATCAGTTTTTCTCTCAAAAACTGTCATATTATCTGATTTATTATCAATTGATATCATACTTTTCCTCACTGTATTTCAAGAAAGAGATTATAAAGATTTTATTGATTTATCTTAAAAATCAATTTTAGTTTATTAGATTCTCTTCAACAATCTAATCTAGTTACTGAACTAGTGTGAAAAAAATCAGGTATTTTATACATAAAAGTCTTGTATTCTTCTTTTGAAACAGTCTGACCAACTTTTCAATTGAAAACAGACTTATAAATCTCTTAATTAAAACAGTCTGATCAACTTTTCAAAAGAGTTTAATAAATATCTCAATTGAA